TTTTTTTTTCCTTTCTCTGTGTCCTTTTTTTTTTTTTTTCTTTTTTGTATACATCGTACATGCTTCTTGCGAACGATTCTATCTGGCAAATTCCTGCATGACGCTTGGTCATTCTGCATTCGACGAAGCAGAGTCTATACTATACATGGACAATCGACACTGTTACAACACAGACATACACGCAATACAGACACAGAAGAACGCCTCTCGATGAAATCATGCTAGCCAAAAAAGAATCTCGTCAAAACAATCGTTGTTACCGATTTCATGATGAAGATCAACTTTAGGACGAGACTTTCCTCGAGAGGACATCGATGTTAATGATCCGTGTTTAAAGTTCTTTCTTTCTTTTTTTCTCTTTTTTTTTTTTTTTTTTTTTTTTTAGTTTTGTTTCTTTTCTTTAATCGCGGCGAGAACGTGTGGAATACGCTAGAAAGAAATATTCTTAACAGGTGGACGACAAAGAACTGTCCGGAGCGGAAGAGGAGAAAGAAGTGGAGAAAGCTCTGTTGAAGCCACTGTTGTCCTTGGAGGACCTCGTCAGGTTTTCCGCCCTCGAAGGAAGCGGCGGTGATTCCTTAAGAACATTGCTACAGCGAGGACACGAGACGGGAGCCGAGTGGCCAGGACTCGAACACGCCAACATCGGTCCGTATATTCAAAAGATGCTTGCAGCCGCTGCGCCATTTAAAGGTAAGAGACGCATCTTTTTTTCTTTTCTATTTATTTTTTCATTTCTCTTCCGGTGAAAAAAATTTATGACGTCGAAGCGTAAAGCATCAAAGACTGTGTGTAGATTTTCGAGAGGTTCGTGATCTGTCTCGATAAAGAATGATGTAATTACTTTCGATTATTGTTAGCTATAACGTTATACATGTGTAACATTTTCGTAACGTGCTAATTAACTTGAAACGTCAAGGATCGGAATTTTATTTCCATGCAGAATTGCGATCCAATGTAGATGTATGAAAAGCAACCGTTTGAAAGAATTGCCATTTGAAAGTTTCTTAACATAAGTTCTGTTGGGAAGAAGAATTAAAGAAGAATTAGAGAAATCATGTACGAGGCGGGAAAGTGAAAATGAGAATCGACGCGGCGAAAATGTACATAGTGAAAAGTACATAGAAATGTTGCACGTTCGCGGAAACAAAGGATTTGGGTTATTTCCGACAGACGTTAGACCGTTTCATTCGCTGGCCAGCCTATAGTGAGGCCCGAGACGAAAGTCGAAAAGTGTATTACGAGCGAGTAGGTCTTCGGAAATCGATAGAAGCCAGGTGGTGGTCGACGGGTCGCCGACACTTTTTCCACTTTCTGAATGGAACTTCATTTAAGTGGCTTAAACAGTTTCTCAGAAGCTAATCCGAGATTACGACAAATGTTCGCAGGCGCGAAGAACCAACGAAATCGTATTTCCTTAACAAACCAGACAAACCTGTGCTCCGCCATATTTCCCGATCGACGAGAATTGAAATTTATTCTGCTCTGTCGTTGCGCTTGCAGGCATGGAGACGCAAGACTATCGCATTCCAGAGGTGATGAGAAGGCTGATGAGCGAGGACAAGAGGCTAAACAAAAGCGTAAACGGGGACCAGTCGCAGCCGTCGCATCAGCAGCTCCATCATCATCAAACGCACTCGACTCATC